TAAGCATACAATTAAGAGTCATTTAATTCCCCTATGTAGACATTACATGAAAGAGAAGCATTGCTTTAAGAAGAGCTTAGTACTATTGGTACACAAACCTTACGACAGATAAATTAGAGCCTAGTAAAACAGCATATAATTTACATTTTGTTATGTCAATCACAAGTAGCATCTTGAGGCTCTTAAACAGTATGCCAAGCCACAACATAAGAGAACTAGTTTAAATCAACCCATGTGGCAGGATCATTTAAGTTTCCACAACCCAAGAGATCCCCAAAAATGAGTTAGCAATTGGATTTCGTAAGATTATTCCTGTTATGAAAATATTTTACTACAAGAGTTACAAAGTTTTGCATAATTATAGAAAAATCAATGAAGTAAAACAACAAGTAACCCGTGGCCTTTACTACTTGAGAAGCTGATCACCAAACGTGCAGGTGGCCCAGTGATAGAGCGGCCCCGCTCAGCTGCGTGGAAAATCCACCCATTGGATTAGTCTCCAAGTTCTTGGTTTTAGCCAGCAAAGGAGGAGGGACAGAGCAGCCCAATACCATGCTTTACATACCTTTCATTAACAGCAGAACAAATGACATACCCTGAATGTTTCCTTACGTTTCTCCTATAACCAGCACCTTGTCTACATTCCCGAACCACACAGGACATTAACAGAAAGGTCAGTGTGTGCATGGCCAAGCAGAGGTGTGAATACAAGGCAACAGATCCACACGGGGTGCAACAATTCCTCTTCCATTCCGTGATGTTTAGAGGAAGAAGACAAGAAACATAAGGTAATGATCTACAACAGAAGGAAAAACTACACAAATGCCAAGAAGTACAGAAGTACAACTGAAAAAATATCATCTCTGGTCTTGTAGCTTGTATCAAGTATCTTTTTTTATTTTAAATACAAGCAAATATTTTCAGGTAGAGCAGCTTAGGCTTCTGTTTTCTTAAATATGAAGTACAAAGTTTCTATTTGTCAAATCACGCTGCAAGTACAACATATGTACTCAAATATGATTTCTACAGAAATGTTTGAGACTTGCATTTTTCTGCAGTTTAAATCTAGAACTGGTTTTCATGTTGCTTGAAACAGGAATTTTCCTTTTGATTTCATCACTGCAGCATATACAGCAGTAAAGCCATCGTTACTTGCCAATATCGCTCGGTTTATAGCAAATCCAGGACGCTGCATCAGCCAAGTGCTCCTCGTGTGTATGTTGTTAGAACAGGAAGGTCTTCCCTCCCCCAAACCTCAACACAAAGTAAGTTACAGACATCAAAACGCTCGAGTCCTCTGCTGGCATGGCTGGACTTACCCAAATCCTAACTCGCCAAGGGCTGGAAGTTCCCCTGGTGAGGTGTAGGTGGAACCTCCGCACCCTCACTCGCCTCGCGATGACCAACCCATCCCTGAGGACCTTCCTCTCAACTGCCCTGACTCCTGCCCCTCGCCCAGCCCAGTCTATAGAAATACACAAACAGCCACTAGTTTATGTTTCATATTTACACTTAGACACACTGGCCACTTCTAGGTGTATGTACATCACCACATCCAAGGACAAGACTGCAAATTGCTCTTCTGTGTTTTGACAGATACTTCAACAAGCGTGCTCACAGTGGCTCCTTACACACTCAAAAGCTTGCTAACCAGCCAGGGCATTTCTCTCTCCCCCTCTTTCCAGCCATGGACGTGCTCTTCAAAGAGCTCTATTTACATGCCAAGTTACAAAGTTCAGCTGCTTCCAAAGCAACGTGGAAAAAGTGCAGCTTTTATGATTCTACAGTGGGGTTTTTCACAACATGAAGCAGCTTCTTAGACTACTTTTTTTTTTTTTTTTTTTTTTTTTTTCAAAAAAATATTACTGTCTGTGAAAAGCTATCGCTCTCTTAAATTCAGGTTATTTTTTGTAAGGAGAGAGATACTGGGAGTTCAGTAGTTATATTTTGCAATGTCAGATAAAAGAAAATAAGTTAAATACCTGACAGTACAAAGTAATTTCTTTTTGTAAGAAATCTAAACTGGATCAAAGCTGTGTTCAGTACTACAGCTTGTTTACAGTGAGCAATTTTTTTTTTTTTTTTTTTTTTTATTTCCAAACAGGATTTCACAGTTCAAGAAAAAAAATCTCAGTTCACCCACAGGCCTTTGAGGAACATTCACTGAGGAGCTTCAAAAGAAGAGAGCTCTCTTACTGACTGAGCATCCATAAAAAAACTGCTTACAAGTCACAAACAAGGGTCACCAAAATCTGCATATCCACCCAAGTTTAAACTCCTCCTCTCGTGTTTAGGCATGGCAAGCCTTTTGCCATCCTCAGTTACATCTTTCCATTTCTTCACTCTTTCAATTGCTTCTGAACCTTTGGTTTAAAATCACGTCTGAAATTCCTTCTTCTAGGACAAACCACAAGCCTGGATTTGGTCACTTCTTCAGCAACGCTCATGCCCATTATCATCTGGGGCTCCCCCCAGCCCCAAACACACGAGTATTTCTAGAGAAATTCTATCTCCAGTTCCCCAAGAAATTATGTCCTAGATTTCTACCTTGCATTTAGCCTGTCAACCACCTGGAGTGAGAACCAACATTCCAACAGCATCTTCTTCGTGGAGGGATGACAATATTGTCAATAGTTCAATAATAATGATGTTTGGATTAAAGATCTATGCAAATAAAACGCCTTTGCAAGAACAGGAATAAAAATTAGCAAGGACAAAAGATTCTACTAGAAATACCAAAGCAGCACTAGACTTGCACCATCAATGACAAGATTCTGAGAAACAGAAAACATTAAAACCCTACTGTTAGCAATCCTTACCCTCTCTCTTTTTCATCTCTCCCTTCATTCTACACCAACATGAAGCAGAGGAAAATGATTTAAAAGTTCCAGAGGGAAGAAAGTGACACGTGCCAAGAACTTCCAGAGGCAAGTTCAACTTCCTAAAAATGACCAGGAATTCAGTAGAAGCTACATCCAGTCACAGTTTGCTGACATGGATTTCTTCTTCCTCTCTACACTGGCAGGAAATAACTACAACCCAGCTGCTACAAATTTCTGATGGCCCATCTAAGAGGAGGGCTATTTAAATTCTTGGAAAACACTTTTGCTTTTCAGACACTGTGAGCAATGGCCTTGTGCAAATAAAGGAACACAGCAACAACCTCCACAGAGACACCACCGGCCCTTCCTCCCTCCCCATTCTGAAAGTTTTGTTTTTAAAGCCTCCCCTCCAAGTGCAGGCAGCACTTTTCCACCTTCCTTCCTTCCTGCAAACACCAGGCCCTCTCTGCCTCCACAGTCGCTTCCTTTGGGTCTCTCGAACATGGTTACCATATCTTTAAAAATGAACTGCAACAAGACCAAGTTTTCCAAACAGTTCTTCCTTCTCCATTCTTTCCAAGGATGTTAAATTATTCTGCATGAATGAAGGAAATTATTTTAATTTTCTCTCTTTACCCTAGAAGGCCAGGTTTCAAATGCTGACTGGAACACACAGCTACTTTAATTTAAGTTAAATAGCTCAGCTATTTTAATTTAAGTTAAAGTTGCACAAACATTTTTTGCAACTGGGGATCTGAAATACCTTCTGTTCTGAGAGCAATGCCCCATTATGTCTTTCTTTACTCTAGCCACATTTAGAATATCTAAGTTTTCGGGACAAAGTAAGATAACTTTTAAAAAAAATGTTACCAAACTATAGTATATAGCTAAAGAAAACAAATCCCAAATTCAGACATGTCCAGGAGCCCTCTTTTATCATTTTTTGGCACTCCTGTATCCTGTGCAGGAGCGATTTGGAACGCGCGCTCTCTGGGGCAGGACATTTTCTTACTTTCTGTAAATCACACGGCACCATTTTCAGAACCACGTAAATAAACAATCAGGGGTTTGGCCGGACAACGCCAATTTCTACAGCGATTCAAAACTCCACGTTTTCTCTGCCCAGGAACCTGCGAGTGACCCCCGGGCATCCATCCACGGGAACTTCTCACCTCCAGCAGAAGGAGCGGGTTAATGATTAACAGAATCCGGGGCAAAACAAACGCAGAATGAAAGAGACGAAGAAAACAAAACAAACCCGCACCGCGAACCGAACCGCCGGTGATTCCCTCAGCCGCGGGCAGCCGGTACCGGGGGGGAATCGG